TGAAAGAAATTATTTAAGGATTAACTTTAATATACTTTTTTATGTTATGGAGATATAACACAAGAACAGAGGGTACTCTAAATAAACCCTGAAGCGGTTTATGACGAGAGTACACTCCGGGGTTTTTTGTGTTATATTTCCATAACATGAAAAATATATTCATGTTAATCCTTATAATTTAATCTACTATACACAATCCCTGTGGAAATCCACTTTTATTGATGGACTCTTTTCTCTTAGAAATTGTTACGCTGCTGTATCAGCCAATCAAAAGCGACGTTACAAACGGCGACGTAATTTTTTACGTTATGGGCTGATAACATAATTTTTGAAGCCAATTAAAATGCTTGTTACCAGCAATATTAAATCATATATATGTATATCTACTGACCCTGTCATGTGAATCAGCTCCCACAATACTGCTCCTTATAATAACACATTACAGAATGTAGTAGTGCTCTCAGCAGAAGGCAGTTTGGGGTTTATAAAACATCGTAAAATGTATAACAAAACTTAATTGACAATAGGGTCCACATACTTGCCCACTTTTTGAAATGTCCACCGGGAGATTCTGCATACTCAAAATTAGAACATAAATAAAATGTGTGTATACACCCTAGAGACAAAATAACCCTTTAAAATGAGGCATATTAAGTTGTTCTGTTAGATGAAAGCATTTCATTTGAGAGTATAGGAACAGTTTAGCTAACTCACTTGTTGAAAATACTAACTGTAAGGGTCCAGAATCGGGAGTGTTCCTCCTAAACATATGTGTAGGAAAACTGTGAAGGGAGAGTGACATCAAACGCCTAGCAGCACAACTGTGGAAACACGGTTATGGTTAAGTGTTCCATAACCTGCAGTGGACAAAATTCGAATATGCACGGTTATATCGCCCTCGGGGAACAACTCTTCAGGTTTACCTCACACCAGGGCATTAAGTGTATAGTAATATTTATTTTTTGAAAACTGTTTAGGGGAGACCTATGTCACACCCCTAAGGGAACAGCTAGCTGTGGTCAATTGTTTAGTAGTCTGCATTGGATGACATAGGAATATGCACCGTGATAAGTCGTTTTGACCAACAGATGGAGACTTTAAACTTTCCACAAAAATGCCAAAAAAAATCACCTTATTACAAGATTACAACGTTCAAGTGTGTTAAAAATTCAAATGACAACTCCAGAATGAATTTTTTTCATGAAATATTTTAAATGATGGGTTGAAATATAGAGCGACCATAGCCTCTTTCAGGGGACTTGTTGAACCTTGACGAGTCGCCAACACATTTTTCTTTAAAATAAAGAACAAAAACAAAACAAAAGTCAAGGAACGTTCCTGAAATTAACCAAGATCGATAACATCAAAAGTTCATACACTGCTCCCTTACAAAAAGTGTTAGCGATAGATCATTTTTCAGGTCCGCAAATATAGGTCAAGGTCACAATTACCGTGTAAAAAATGGTTTCTGATCAATAGCTCAGTCATACGCAAACACTTAAGGAAGCAGTGTATACATTTTCAATGTTATCGAGCTACTGAGGAGAAAACAGTTTACTATTTACAAGTATAATAACAGTGGCGCAGACCTTTGATCTTAAGACTTGAAAACCAATCTGAAGCAGTGATGAAGCAGTATATGACGTTTGGGTTTGACCTGTGCATGGCAACTGAAGTTTTTGTCACAGGGGCTCGGTTTCGGGATATTGAGTAAGGTTTATAAGGTTTTATAATATGTACAAACACATATATTACTCAAATACCCAAAACCGAGCCCCTGTGCATAGTGTGCGGAAACCAAAGACCAATAAATAAATGGACTATATTCCATCCCAATTGATCAGCGACACGGATGTGCTACGGTAAGGGAAAGAGGCCGTTTCTTATATCGGGTATATACGTCACTGCGGAAACTAAGTGTTTATTTGTAGTAACAGTGACCTTGACTTTAAACCTTCGTTCCTGAGAAGCAATCTCTTACAAGCACTTCCAACGAGGAAGCATTATATGATGTTTGCGAAGATTTGGCCTCCAGGAACACATGTTGTGCAGAGTGCTGCTAGTCTCAAATCTTTCGCGAGTCATTTTCCAATTGGATTCTGTGTCAATTGCTTTTTCAAATAAGTTTTTAGGATTTTGTTCGATAGTCCGTTTTCATAAGAGTTTACATGCTGTCAGAGAATTACATTTTTTCCTAGTATTATAATTATATAATTATCTGTTGCCCTGTTATTGAGAAATCACTTTTCATCTCTTAAGTCAATGCTGACGTCTTTCCGATAGACACCACCAGGAATGTTTTTCAATTTTACTCATTCATGTATATTTCTAAGAAGCGGATAATTATATAAATATTACCTAAAGGAGAACAGTATAATTAACATTATTTGATATAGAATCCGATTGAAAATGACGTAACGTGGAAGATTTATGACATGGGCACTACATACACCGGTCCTCGTGACGTCTTCATCAGATTTGGAGCAGTTACTTTGTCATCTACAAGTATTTACATTTTTAAATATGTAAATTACCTTACAGAGATCCGACTAATACAATGATATATTGGTCGTTTAGGTAGAATTAGGTAGACGTATCAATATTACAGCGGTAATTGAATATAGGTGCCTTGTAGGCGTGGTAGGTTTATTAGGCTGGGTGGTGATCTTACTTTGTACATTTCAAATTTTATGCAAAATTGTTACGTGACACTTTTAATAAGTTTTAAATTTGTATATTTTTATGATGCAAAAACAACTTCAAATCAATAGAGAATACAATATACTCGTAACCAAGTAAGTTAAGTGGTGTAAACGTGCGCTCGTTATCAAATTAATAGAGAGCTGTATGGCCCATTGTAGACATACCACCTTGAGCGTATGACTATTGGTAATTTAAACGACCCTGAAACGTGATGTTTGTATCTTTACAATTTGTTATTAACGCTAGAGTTATATGCGGCGATGGGTAGTGACGATCTTCATAGACGTTCCGATGAGTGACTCCACACACTGCGTGAACATTTAGTATACACGAGAGACGCTCTGACGATAGGCATGGATGAGTTTGTATGTCAATACGACTTGTTAAGTATGACGTTTCAGTTTTGAAGTTCATTAGAAAAATGTTTGTGAACCGCCCGTGTTGGCTGTGAAATCAGGAACAGTAGGTAAGTACACTTAAGCGTGATGCGAGAACGTCGGGGGAGGGTGTTTTGCAGTGGAATGGACACATACTTCCTTAAGGCAATTTTAGTCCTAAAGTGGGAGAGAGGGTGAGGCCAATATCCGCTCCTATAATATAATGAAGCACTTTGTATTGTATACCAGTTTTTCAGCCATCGAGTACACATTTTTTGGAGCTATATCGCCAGGATAGTTTGGTTTGGTTTCATTTTGTTCAACGTTCTAGCTAAGGTCATTTAAGGACGTGCTTCCATGTTTTTTGTGTATATGTGCTGGAGGCAGAGTATGTTGTGGATGTGTTTGCCTCCCTGTGATAGCGCGGATCTGATGCGGACTTTATAGTGCTATCTGACTGAAAAACCATGCCGAATGCAACCAGCACATTATTCTGCCTTGATCACATTATACTGACAGCGGGTGAACCAGTTGTTGCCATTACCCTATGCTGAACGTTAAGTAGGGAATAACAACTACCATTTTTAAAGACTTTGGTATGTCCCGACCTGGGGACAGAACCCATTGCCTCCCTCACCTGGGCAAACGGTCAACATTAAAGCCAAAAGTGAGATGTTGCCAAGCAAGGCGCTAGGAAATAAAAGGTATTTTTAATTAACTAACTTGATATTGTCGCAATATATCAAAATCGGCCCATATATATATATTTTTGGTGAAGATGACCAACTTATTACCGTTTATGATAATAATATTTTTTAAAAAAAATACGGGGATCAAACCCGGGATCTATATCCACTGCAAATATAATCAAAATGAAAGCCTGTCCAAGGGAAATAACTCTACTGGTTTAAGGGAGATTACTCTGGGTGGAAATCTTCTTTGCAACTGACACAGCAATCTCCACGCAGAATAACAGTCCTTGATCTCTGTCAACGTCAAAAAGTAGTCCCGAATCACATGACCAAAAAAAAAATCGTTTGATCCATCGTACAAAATGGCAGCCTCCGTAGAAAACACGCCAAAAAAGGTTGGAAAATATAGATTGTTTTGCGTGTTAATTGCCAAGAATGTGATAGTTTTTAAGTTGAGTGGGCGAAAGTTACATAGTGAAGAATTCAATTCTAAGTTACAACATATATTAGATACAACTGGCGATGTCATGAACAAATCATTCAAAGCTAAATAACCACATTGATATTACTACGCTGAACATTACGCTTAAAACATAGTGCAGTATATATTTACGCCTTACTACTTGTTAAAAGTCGTTTCAAAAATGATGTAGCCAAGAAAATATTTTAAAAATGAAAAAGGAAGTCCCTGAAGATGAAATTATCACGATTTGAGACCACGATTCACGATTTCAGTCGTAAAATCTGAGACGTTGATAGAGGTGCGTGTGATTGAAAAGGAACGACAACTCTGGGTAGAGATTGCTGGCACCGTGGTACACTAATGAAGACAACCCTGGCCAGACAGATCAATTTTTCAAAGGACACGTCTATTCATTGGGGCCGGGAACATGCTATATATCGAGTACACATATTGAATATACTGAAGTTTGAAATGCAACAAGGCCATATTATTCGTCCGATCCTGTGTTGTAAATGTTCCCAATGTCCGAACTACCTGTATAAGACCTACTCTATGTGAAAATCAAGTAGTGTTGTCTCTTCTGGGTTAATCTAGTTCCGTGTTTGTTATCGGATTAGTATCATCGTGTTATCAAAATCATGTTTACTCTCTTAGTTTAAGTCCAAGTCTCGGACACTCGTGTTCGACAATATTGTTATCAGGCATTTTGATAGCAGACGACGAAATCTTGCATTGAGGATTTTATATTTTCTTTTTGGTCTGGTTTATTTTACAAATGTAGTTTTCAAGGTAATGGTTACTATTTTCCCTACAGGAAACAATTGAAAAACTTTCTGTCTTGGTGAAATATAATAAATCAATGTCCAAATCACTTATTTCTCACCACTTCCCTGTATCGATTGTATCACCACTGCTGTTGCACGAGTTCATATGGGTTACTTCCCTTGCAACACTGATTTAGGAGCGTGTTATTTCAGCTCGGAGATACAGGTATGTCGGTACTGTTTTCCATCAGTTTATATGTTTTCTGACCAAGGTACACGTTTTTGTTGATTTAATGCCAGAGATAGCGTTTCTAAACTGATGATTAATGCAATGTTCAAACTCAGATTTTAGTCACGAATATATATTAACTATAGGATTACAAGCTAATCGAAGTATTTCAAGTGTGCACCTCAATTTATACCTGGTTCGTCCTATATTGATTTTATCAGATCGGTAAAGTGCGAGTTTTATCGTGTGCCTCTGACGTCATTCATCCAGGTTTTGTGAGATCGTTTATAGTCTATAAACTTGACAAAGTAACCAGGATGTCGATCACTACATCACAAACAATACCGAGTTACGTCCCCTCCACACACAGCCTCAGGCATTGGATGACTTATCCCCCTTTGCACATTATATCTTGTTCTACGTGTTATCTGCGCCAAAAGCGCACTTAAACAAATTTATGCGGCATAATGAGACAAGAAAATGTTGTTATTTCTTATAGTTGCATTTGAAGACAAACACTTTTATTTGCAAAGTGAGTAGGCTTTCATTCAGAAATTAGTATTAAAACGCATTTTCTGGTCTTAATTTTGTGCACATTTCTTTAGCTATTCCTTGTGGTGGTGGTGGCGTTGGAGTGGGGGTCATATATTGCTGCAGTCCAGAAAACAATCCTTGATACTTTTCTTAAGGCTCTTTCAATTCTTTTCACAATGATTTCCAATGGAGATAATTAAGCAATGAATGTTTCAGCAAATACTGTTATGGTCCTATAACATACATTGCTATCGATGACAAACTTAATAAAGCCCGGCAGGGCTTTAAGTAAGTGTGTCAGCAATAGAAATGTGTGTTATAGGACCATAACAATATTTGCTAAAATATTCATTATTTATACGTAGTAACGCTTTATTTAGTTATTTTTAACAGCAAATTAAGTCTTGACAACAATGAAATTGATGACGTCACAATAGAGATTGATGACGTTACAATAGCAAATGTTGTTATAGTCTCATAACAACATTTGCCTTCTCAATGCATTGCAATGGAAGGATGCAGAGCAAATGTAAATATAAACAAATGGATATAATGAAAAAGAAATTCCCTTTAAAGAAGGACATTTCATGAAACTTGGAGGAGGGGGGGGGGCTATATTTGCAAATATCAGTTGTCAATCATGACACAGGTAACACCAGAGGAGACAGAGGAGACATCTGTCCTAGCATGGATCTATCGGCACCAAAGATGGTCGCTAAACATAAC